GGCTGTGCTCGCTGGCGCTGGGGGCTTCGGGGCAAGGTGCTTCCGTGTGTTGGGGTTCCCAAGCGGAGGGAGCCTGGCCTTGGCTTGGGTGTGCTGAGGGGTAGTCAGCATTGCCGCGCTCTGGTAAAGCTCTGGGTCAGCACTTGGCCTAAGTGCCCAGCTCAGTGGGTACTTCTCTGTACTAATGAAAGTTGTTCAGGCTTCTTATTTGCCTGTTCAGTCCTGTAAATTTAGCAAAGGCTCTTGCTATGCTGCGCACTCACCCCTGGTTTGCCTTACAGGTGACCAAAGCGGTCAGAGCCGGAGAATTAGACGCTAAGACCCGTCGCCAGATCTTTGACGCAATTGGATTCACGTTTCCGAATCGCCTGCTCGCCTCCAGGCAGCCCCCGGCAGGGTGCCCCGAGCACACCTTCCGGGCACTGGGCCTTACTCTGTTGGCATGTTTCTGCACCGATCCCGAGTTAGCTGGTCACTCCCAAATCCTGAACAAAATCCCAACCTTCAATGACATCCTGGTTTCCTCCTGCAATCCAGACAGCACGTCCATGATCGATGATGTATACCAGTGCCTGAGCGCTGTCATGGCCACTAGCAGGGGCCCCAGGGAGTTGGTGACCAAAGGGACGGTGTCTGCCCTGTGCCAGGCCTATGTGAATTGCAGTTATGGCTCTGACCGTGCTCTGACGCTGCTCTTGGGGCTGTTGGCCATAGCAGAGGCGAAGTGCTGGCAGAGGGACGCTCCACACCTCCTGGCCGTGCTGAGCAAGCTCACCAATGATTTTCTCAAGACTGAAGACATGACCAAATTTGAGTTGTGTGAGGTTCTGCCACACTTCATCCCCCTGTCGCCACCCCTCACACAGGACTCGCAGGGCTGTGAGTGCCTCCATAGACTTTACAAAGGGCTGGCTAACATCTTGGGCAGTAAACTCAGCCAGTCGCAGCGGGACCCTGCTCTGAAGCTTGCTGCCTGCCTCGTGCAGGCCTGCGGGTCAGAGTGGATCCCAGCAGGGAATGCTGGAAGCAAATTCCTGGCCTTGCTGGTGAACTTGGCTTGTGTGGAGGTCCGCCTGATGCTAGAGGAGCCAGATCCCTTGGAGGTGGAGGGGAAGAAAGAAGTGGTAACAGCCTGCTATGTCCTTATTGAGATGGGGATCCAGGAGTGCCTGAGAGAAGAGAAACCGCTGCTAGAAGAGGTGCAGAAAATGCAGCTTGTGAGGATCATGGAGGAGGCATTTGGAGCTGTAATATTCTACTTGAGACAGGTAATGCAGGGCTTTCAGGCAAAAGTGTTTGTGGTTTTCTTCTGGGAGGCTTTGATAGCTGTTCACTGGGACGCTTAATGGGTGCTCAGCAGCTCATGGCCATAGCTGTGTAGAGCAAAACGTGCATCTTCGCCCGCTGTGGTTTTCCTACCTGCGGTACCTCGATAGGACAGCGGCCCTAACGTCATTTTCTGTCTGCTTTCTTATTCATGCAGGTTAAACAGGAGGAGCTACAAGACCCTTTCATATTTGCTTCTGTTCGAATCCTTGGAGCCTGGATGGCAGAAGAGACATCCTCCCTCAAGCAGGAAATCTGTGAGCTCTTGCCTTTCCTTGTTCATTATGCCAAGAAGCTTTTCAAAGAGGGCAGCCCAGCTGCGAGTCTTCCCCAGCCAGAGCTGGTCAGCACCGAGCGCTCTGGCTTACCCCAGGATGCTCTGAGGTGCGTATTTTAAGCACAGAGTTGATGCGTTTTAGCACAAACCTGTTCAAATCTTCTTCTATTTTCCATTCTCCCTGCAGTGCCAATTCCATGGCTCTTTTTTCCCCCAGTTGGATGTAAATGCAGAGCTTAGACCCATTTTGCCTCATGTTCCCAATGTCTTTCCCCTTCCAGATTTCTGCTACCTGGCTTTTGCCATTTAACAGCAGAGGACAGGCCCCGGGACATCCTCATCTCAGAAGGAGCACCAGCACTGCTGTGTGAGTACTTCCTCCACCAGTGGGAGGTGCTGACCTCCGAGCCCGGGTCCCTGACTCCACTGACAAGCACTGAAATGAGTCTACAGACGGCGTGTGGGATTTTCCTTAACCTGGTCGTGACTGCACCGGACCTCATCAGGTAACAGAGCCGCAGGAGCCTGCTTTAAGGTTGTCAGTGGGAAGAAAGGGAGTGCATTGTGAAATGAGTTTGCAGGATCTTTTAAGACACTATGCTGAAAGAGGGATGTCCCTTTTTCAACACCAGTTATATTACTTTTTTGGCACTGCCTTTAACCTTGACATTTTCAGGTGCTTCTGGCTCTGCTCAGGAAACGTGTCTCAGGGTTTGCTTTCTCTCTAGGCAAGACAAAACCTTTTCCTCCTTGATGGACATGTTGTTGAAGTCTCTTCCGCTTCTGCTGCCCCAGAAAGATCACCTGGTTCTAGCAGCGAACCTTGCGACTCTGGGCCTGATGATGGCCAGGATCCTT